GAAATATATTTATGTTTGTGGTTGTAATGTGACAAAATATGGAAAAGTTCAAGGGGTATGAATACTTTTGCAAACCACTGTACATTACCCATAATCCTCTTTTGTGTGCCAGGAAAACAAAGACCCTAATGACCCTCAGGAGGTAGGAGAGGGCGTTTTATCTGCTAAAACTCCACTCTCCAGGTCAGAACTGAAACATTTCTTTGAATGGGAGGAGAAACGTCTTCAGCTTTAAGAAATTAACGGAATTACCCATAAAGCTCCTTTTGTTTCTGATTGTGTCACAGTGACATCAGGCGAATCCTTGTCTCGACAAGAAAGCAAACTATGGTGAAATGCTTTTCTCTCTTTCCTCACACCCAAACTCTACAATTAAAGACTTTAGAGAGATTTGATAAAAACTTTAGCAACAGGTCTGTAGTTTTATCTTATCCACTCCTGAACAGATCTAATCTCTGCTGTTGTTCCAAGGTGGGATTATTTTCCTGTCTGACTTTATTAGTCCAAGGCTTTTTTATGAGTCAAACACTTGGAACTGAAACTCAAACATACTTTCTGAAATGTAACAGGGTGGGGGTGGGTCCATCTAATGTCATTTACTCAGGTTCTGGAGGTTTTTCTAGTATCTTGTTCCGCTTGCTTTGGACTCACCTTCATGGCTCTTTTATTTACAGAAACACATGTTTGGTTCAAGGAGGGTTGACTTCAACACTCAGCAACTACCAGTTGAATTTAGCAAAATATCTGTAAAAATGAATAACATTAACCATTTTTGTTTGATCTAAAGTCAATTGGATGTGGTGGCCAACTTTCATTAGTCTGGCTGCAACATCTGTTCATTTCAGTGATTGTTTCCTGAAAGTTTCATTAAAGGGATCCCCGATTAGTTGTAACATTGAACTTTATTTGATAAACACATATTTTAACTGTAAAATAAAGACAGTAAAAATACGGTAGGCTGTTTAGTTTTGTACATTTTTAAATATATGTTTTAACACGGACAGAACCATTTTATTTACACACAAAGCATTCTGGGTGAATGATGACGTGGATAGGTCCTCGGTGCGAGGCTGC